AAACCCTGATGAATCAGAAAAACCAGGGCATCGACAAATTGCTGATAAACTTGTATATTTGATTATATTCATTATGCATTTAGTTTTTTTCATTATAGCTTCATTTAAAAACTATGTTAATTACACAGCATACTGGGTTGTATTGCTTCCTTCAGTGTTTTTCATTATTTATGCATCAAGTGGATATATTCATAGACTTATTAATAACGACGATACCAAAAAAGATGACAATAATGATCATAACGTTTCATGTATGTTTACATTTATTTTATCACCAATTCACATAGTATTTAATGCTAACATTATTTTATTACTATCATATAAAATATTCTAGTAAGAATTATCGGAATATGCTCACACTTTTTATTCTGTGCAACTGTTGGTCCTAATTCATTATGGATAAAAGTTTATCTTACAGCGGTAGCAGTCGCTGTTACATTAACCGAAAAAATTAATGACCTTTTAGATGATAAAATTGAAGATAAAAAAACTAAAGAAAAACATACTGAAAATGTGGAGGAAAAAGCTTAAGGAATGAACCATTATCTATTAAGGTAGAATAATAAAAGCTATAAATTATTATACGCAAAATGTAAGTTTTTTTTTTTATTAATCTGAATTTAATTTTTTGTTAATTAAATTTAAAATAAAAAAAAAATTAAATAAATGAAAATAAACAATTTACAGGAATGGAAGTAATTACAATTTAAAGATTTCTACACAAATGCAAAAATTACTTTTAAAATATACTGTAGACTTTCTTCTGTATAGTTATCCGGAGTCTGATTATTATTTGGATTGCTCATGAACTCATGAAGTTTCATGATTCGTCCCATAGATCATCTTGTTGCTCAAAGAACAACTACAATATGCAAAATCTATTGTCGAATTGGGCAATTTTCATTGAATTTATTATTATTATTTTTTTTATATATATTTATTATTATTATTATTATTTTTATTTAATTTTGTTATTTACTTATTATTTTTTTGCAAATTATATCTGGAAACTCATTTATTTAATAAATATATAATAAATGATAATCCTCGATCATGTTGGCCTTAATTTGTTTAGCATTTTTCTCAGATAATTTCATTAATACCCCGATCACTATTTAAGATCACGGGAGTATTATTATTACAAATATCCCATGCAAAACACTAAAATTTTTTTCTAAGGATTGCACTGTATACTTATCAAGAGGACATATATTAATCAGTGTTTTTGCTTTAAGAATAAGTAAAATTTATAATAATTTAATGATCAATGTATTGTCATGATTTAAGGCTATTTTATTATGCATTACTAATTATGTTGACTGTGTTGCGTGGATTAAATGTCCCAACTACAATATACGTATTCTACAGATAAATTTCAGAGTACTATATTTGATGCTTTTTATATTAAAATTTTTTTTTATGTAAAATGTAATGTATCTCAGGTACAATACTTTCTAAGGTCTCTAAAAGTTGTGAAGGGTATTATACGATAGGAGAGGAGTTTTAGTCCGCGCAGTATGCTAACTAATTAGAGATGTTAACTGATTGGTATGGTCCTATCACTGTGGAGACTTAATTAAACTAGACCATTTTAGATTGGTCTTAAAACTAACTGTGATAAATTATTTTTACCGTATCGTACGTATTTCGTAAAGTGTAGCATAAAAATAGCATACATGATTTTTGATATAATTAAAATATGAGATGTTTAGCACATAATTTAAATTTTATTATTCAAGATATTATGAAATTAAGTTGGGCTAATTCTATTTTTAAAAAAAACAAAAGCTATTGTTAAGTTTTTTAGAAATCATAATATTCTAGCAGCAATTTTTAAACATCATCAGAACTATCACTTGATTCATTATCAAAATTATTATATAAATTATTATTCAAGTTATTATCTTTTTCATTATCTGATTCAAGTATATTTAATATATTCGTATTTTCAATATTTTTATTTTTATAGAGCTTTTGAGTAATATGTGGTAATTGTAATCTATAATTGCTATATATATAAACTAACTCTTGGTTTAGTTAATCTTTGTCTTTTTTTATTATAAATAAATGAAAAATTAGACCAGTTTCTTTCTGCTGCAGCTGAAGAAGTTGGAATAGA